AGGGACCCCCGAGCAGGATGGTTGGGCAGCATCTGGTGTCCACACCACTACAGCGATGGAGGCAAAGCTGAACGCAGCACAGCCCACAACAGGGGGATGTCCCACAGCCCCCAGGCCCTCCCAGGAGGGGCAAGGACCAGTCCCAGTCCTTACTCAAGGAGGAATCACTGCCAGGGGATCTTAAGTCATTAAAAATAAGAAGAGTAGCCTCCCATAACTGCTAATCTAAAGCTACAGCGCAGCAGGGGAGTCACCCCAGGGGCAGGCACAGCCTCACCGCTGCAGCCCCCTCTAGAAACTTAGCGCCAAGACATTTATATTAAAAAAAAAAAGATACTTCAGTGACAACACTACGCAGAACTGAGGAAGCCCCACAGATGATGGCAGCCCCCATCCCACAGTGGGATGAGCCTCCCCAGCTCCTGGAGGGGAGGGGGGCAGCAGGGAAGCAGGAGCAGCACGAGCCCCTCACACCTTCAGGATGGCATACTTGAAGACAGCCATGATGGCAGCACTGATGAGACCCGAGATGGGGACGGTGACAAACCAGGCCATGAAGATGTTGCGGAAAAGGCGCCAGTCCACCGCCTTCCTGGAGCGCAGCCAGCCCACCGAGACCACCGAGCCCACCTGCCCGAGGAGTCAGGGCACAGCTCAGCATCGCAGCAGAATGGGGCACCCACTGGGTGCCTGCTACCCCACTCCCACCCCACCACCCTTCCCGAGGTGCCCTCAGCCATGGGTCCTGCTCCAGCCCTTGGGGACACTGCAGACCCCAGACAGAGAGAGGAAGGCAAGGAGCCGCTGTCCTCGAGCGGGGAAAGGGCACTGCAGGGCCTGGGTTCCCACGACCACTTGGCAGAGCCCAGGGATCCATCAAAGGGGTTTTGTTCTCCCAGAGCCTCCTCGACTGCTGCCTCACACCCAGGGACTCCCTCCAGCCCTGGGCAGCCGCTGCCGCCCCGCATTGAGATGCAAATGGCAGAGCTGGGACCTGAAGGCCGGCCAGCAGCCTATTTTTGGGACCTCCTGTGCAGCTCAGCCTTATTAGCACCAGGATTTGGAGGCAGCTGAGCTCGCACCAAGTAGGCACCATCCCCTCCTGCCACCCCCACCTACCTTGCAGTGTGTTGTGCTGATGGGGAGACCAACGTTGGAGGCAATCACCACCGTCAGGGCAGATGCCAGCTCAATGCTGAAGCCACTGCAGAGACAGAAAGTGTATGAGAACCCGGGCACCAGACCTCCCGCACTGCCCAGCCTGTCAGGCTGGCTTAGCCCAAGCCAGACCTAGGACTGCTCTCCCCAAGCAGACCCTGCACAGCAGGGTCAGGTGCTCACTTGGCTCTCCAGACCCGCGGCAGCCCCAGGCTGACCCCCCAGGGGATGCAGGGAGATGTTATGGGGCCACACACACCCCAGCTCCACCACCTGAGTAATGAAACCCCCCAGAGAGGAGCTCCAGGAGTGGGCTGTAGCTTTAGGACTGCCTGAAGCCTCCCCCTGTCCAAGACAGGCCCTTACCTTGATGGTGTGATGGGAGTCAGGTCCTTCCCCATCGTCTGGATGACTCTCCTTCCCCAGACCCACAAGCCGATGCAAATCCCCACACCTCCGTAGAGCAACAGCCAGATGGGAGTTGCCACCTTGGTAGCCACATCACCTGTCTGATAGACCAGGTAGAGCGCAACCAGGGGCCCTATGGCATTGCTGGAAGGGAAAGAAGATCAGTCTAGAGGGCCAGAGGCTTTGGGCAAGATGGGCACCAGCCCCAGTGAACACCCCCACCGCTCCTGCCAACCCAACTGACCTGACATCATTGCCACCATGAGCGAAGGAGCCAAAGCAGGCTGTGAGGATCTGCAGGAACTGGAAGAGGAGGGACACCTCGGGTTTGTCCAGGTCATGCCATTCTTCCAGGGAGCTACTGCTGCCCTTGTGGTCGCTGACTCCCATCTCCACCTGGGCCGTGTTCAGATCCACATCAGCAGCCGGGTGGGCATCTGCCACTGCATTGCAGTAGCTGGTGTAGCTGTCCATGCGGACCCTCTTCTTGGTGTCCGCCACAGGCCAGGTCAGCTTCTCCATCTCCTCCCCCTCCTTGGCACGGAGGGAGTCCAGGGGCATGCCACAGATGGCCATGGTGTAGGAGGTGTAGCTGTTGTTACGCCGCAGGGGCTTGTCCCCCGAGTCCCCCATGCAGTCCCCCATCTTGGCCAGGTGCAGTTTATGCAGCAGCTCCTTGTAGAGGCCAGAGTCCTTGTGCACAGTGTGGTACTGGTACTGCCCGCTGGAGCTCAGCTGGTGGCCCATGGCCTGGTTGAACTGGACAAGGTTGCCATTGGGCAGCCGCACAGCTTTTTTTTTGCAGAGGTTTAGCACCCGGGGTACCTGGGGTGGGGTGCCACCACCCCCGTACCACCCCCCACCGCTCACCGCTGTCAATGCTGGTTTCCTTCAGGTCAAGGCTGGGGAGCCTCTCCTGCTCTGGGGCCTCCTCCAGGTCCCCAAGGTTGAAGGAGACTGTCCTCTCCTCCACTGCTGCCCGGTGGGGCGCAGCTGACCCCACATCAACAACGGGGCTCTTGGCATCTCCCAGAGCTGCCTTGGGCTCCTCATGGTCCTCCTTCGGGCTGATGTTCTTCTCCATCAAGGGGCTTTCAGAAGGACTGGATTTGATCTCTCCTGTGAAGGGAGGCAGCTGCCATCAAACCCTATCCCACCACCACACCCAACACCAGGAGCAAGCCCACACCCCTCACCACTCAGATTTATGGCAGCTAAATAAAAATTTATAGCTTTCCCCCCCACCCCCCCCGCAC